ATCTCGTCGTTACCACTGAGATTCTCGGTAGCTTCAAGTCGCCAAACATTATTGAGCTTCTTGACGTGAGCATCGACGCGACGACCGAGAGCACACGACTTGTTTTCGAGTCGATGAAAGGCACCCTTCGAAGCGCGCTCGACACTGATTTGCTGGACGAGCACAAGACTCTTCAAGTGGCGCTGGACATTGCACACGGCCTCGCCTACGTGCACGCTCAATCGCTCGTCCACTGCAACCTCAAGCCCGGCAACATCTTTGTCGACCACTCGGGCCGCTCCAAACTCGCCGACTTTGGCTTGTGCTGTGAAACAAAAGACGTGCGCAAGAGCATTGGCACACCGCAGTACATGGCGCCAGAGCTCACGGTGTTCGAGAGCACCGACGAGGCCTCATTTCCTGTCGATGTCTTCGCCTTTGGCGTTCTTCTCACAGAGCTCAATACGGGCAACGTGCCGTACAGTGAGGACGGCTACGTGAGCCAATATGCGCTTTGGAATGCCGTCCAAGGTGGTCGTCGCCCCGCATTGCGAGACGACTGCCCCGCGTGGTACCGGGACCTTGCGATCGCGTGCATGGCCGCTAAGCCAAATGCTCGCCCTGCTGTGGCTGACATCATTCACACCTTGGAGCATCAGTTGCTGTAGTTTTAACGGATTGAGTCAACTAGATTTTATTTCTAAATGCCATGAAAGTTCTCCTCTAAAGTGTTGATGATCTCTGGTACCGTGGGGCGGTCGCTCGGAGCCTCCGCCATGCACTGGACCGCCAGCTCGCGAAACCACAGAGGACAATCGTCCCGAAGCGCGGGACGCAGACCGGATCGGACTTGATTCCATAGCGCATAGGGGCTTTCGTAACCAACGTTTACGTACGGGACCTCGCCCGTGTTGGCATCGAGCTCCGTGAGGAGGATGCCAAACGCATAGACGTCCGAGGCGTAGGACGGTACGGATGCTGGGAGGCCCGTGAGCTCGGGGGCCATGTACTGTACGGTGCCTTTCATTTGGGATTCCCGATCGGGCACTTCGTGCTCACTGATGCCAAAGTCGGCGAGCTTGACGCGGTCTTCTTCATCGAGGAGAACATTGTCAGGCTTGAGGTCGCAGTAGACAACCTTCTGAGAGTGCAGGAAGGATACGCCTTTGGCGACATCCAGAGCGATGCGGACCTTTTGCGCAAGAAAGAGCATGCTCTCCAGTTCCAAGCGCTGGCGCAAGTTCATGGACATGGACTCTAGAACCAACGCGACGCGCTGATCGTTCGGGTTGATGTCGACGTGTCGAAGCTCCACAATATGGTCGGAGCGAAGGCTACCACAGCACCTAAGCACCTACGCTATTCCATTTCTATGATATACCTTGAGAGTAGTCGGATTTCCGTCCAAATCGACGGGTCGCTGACATTGCTAAACTCCTTGACAGCCACGTTCCGACCGTTGAACGTGCCCCGGTACACTTCGCCAGAGACACCAGCACCAAAACTATCGTCGTAGTGCACGTCCAAGATGCTGCGAGTCTCGAGCGCCATCGCAATGTCGGTGTAGTCACGCCGGAGTGCAATCATGAGCGGCGTGTTCTTCTAATGACATCGTTCCACGTTGTACAAGTCCATCAAGAGGTGCAGACGAGTCGTACGTTTCTGTCAGGTAGCTCCTTGTCGGCGCCATTTCCAAGCAAAAGTTCGACGATGTCGAGGGCGCGCAGTCGCACAGCGGCCAATAGCGGCGACTCGTCGCCCTGTACCGGACGTCAACAGATCACTCACATACCCAAAAGGTATACCATGGTGGTGGTCTGGTTGACGTTGATGCGGCTTTGGTGCAAGAGCAGCTCGACCGTGGCCATGCTGCGCCGCTGCACGGCTTTGAACAGGAGACATTCGCCCATCTATATTCGCTCGTCAGATTTGTTTGTCGATTGTGGAGGCGACCTTGTTTGTCGTCGTCGGGTCAACGCCTTGCGCCATGAAGAATTCCAGGGCCGCCACGTTGTCGCGCTGGACGGCCTCAAAGACGCACGGTTGCGCCTACAGACATGGAATGAATTTGGAGCCATCGATTGAGAAGGGATACCGGCACGAGGTCCCACATGTGTGGCGTGATGCCGCTCTTTGTCAGGTTGGGATTCAAGAGAACTTGCAGAAATGCGACCGTGTACGGCGGTCCCACGAGCCGCATCGCGACGGTTGGCAGCGACAGACTACGCAATCGTGAGCTCAAACGTAGCAAAATATGTTGCATTTTTCAATTTGTACAGGTCCTAGAAAACCACATCAAAACACGACATTGCGAGTCGCTCAAAGTACCTGATTGCACGCTTGGGTGACGTCAAAGCCAAAGCGCAAAAGGAGCTCCAAGATCCCGCGCTGCTGATCGTGCAGCGCGCGGATCTCGAGTGCCAATGTGGCTTGGCTGAGTTCTGTTCTCGCCTCAATCGCGCGACAGCCGGCAGCGACTGCGTGGAGCGCCGCATGCACGAGCGTATACGTATACTGGCTCGACTTCTTGTCCTAAGTTCCTATTGTCGCGCGTCGTGGGCATATATCGCGGTCGTACGGGGTCGGCAACATGGACGTTGCTTGTAGCCAAGAACCGGGCGACGCCGACGTAATCGCCAAGCTCGATGGCCTCGAAAGCGGCTCTCTAGACACGCATGAGGTTGTGATGGACGCTGCAGCACCGACGCACCTCGGCGTCGGTCAACGATGGCATGGCGAGGTGGCAGCTGACGCGTGATTATTCGCAATCAAGTATACTTAGCCTACTGCAACCACTCGAAAGTATTTTAAACCGCCAGGTTGTGCGACCAAAGGCAAAGCCAAAATGGACCCCGCGTCTGCGGCCATTCGCGCAGTCAAAGCGCTCGACTGCCATGCCCTACTAGAGCTGCTCGAGAAGCACCCGGCGTTGGTGCGAGAGGTCTCTCTTCGGTACTACTTGACATGTCGATTGACTTGGTGACGATAGAAAGAAGGCCACACGCTCCTCGAGGTCGCGCTGCTCGCTGCGATCGACCGCCTTCCCGTGTCCGAAGAGGCTGTCTACGTCATTACGTCGCTTCTGCAGCGCCAGCCAGACGTCAATGTCTCCTCCGTACGACCCAACCATGCGAAACCGCTTCACAGTCGTGTAGGACGGCCGCACACCGCTGCACTTGGCCTGCTGTATCCAGCACGAGGGCATTGTGAACATGCTTCTGTACGCCGGTGCAGATGCTAACGCCACCTACCAGTACGGACCGTGGCGACAAGTTTCAATATATGATCTCTGCGTAGAGGTGACACTCCGCTCCACGTCGCGGTCAAACTCGGGTCGATCGAGATCATGCAACTGCTCGTCGAGACGAACGCGGTCAACGTGAACGCAACCGACAAGGTCATCGTCGTCGGCAACGACCCGTCGCCTCATGCGTTCCTATGTAGCATGGCCTGACGCCACTCCACTACGCCGTCAAGATGGGCAAGCAGGAACTCATCGCCAACCTTCTCACCAGCGGTGCCCATCCAGCCGATGCGGTAGACTTTTGGCATGTGCATGTGATGCATTGTCCAAACGCAAACGTGTGCGTAGGATGCGGTCAGGGCGTTGGCGCCAAGCGTGAACGCGAAGATGGGTGAACTCGTAACCGAGTCAGCTACTCCTGGCGTCAACCCCACAAACATCTGCGGCGTACGATACTGGTCAACTTACCGGAGAATGAACATGACGGCGTATGTAGGGTCTTTCGGCTATTGACTTTGCCGCAAGCAGTGGGACCATAGTGAGTGTGGAGGATACCACCGTCAGTCAGTCGCGCGAAATCACAGCAAAGTTGGCGATTGCTGCCGGCTACAAACGCTCCTACTCGCGCAGTGTCAATCCCAACCATGGCGCAGGTCGCTTTGGTAATGTGAAGCTTGATGTTGTCAATGGTGAAATTGTGGAAAAGCCACCGCTGCGCACTTTGAACAATGAGCTTTGCGCCTTCTTGACGTACGAAAATCTTCTACAGTTTGTGGCATTGATAAAAATTCTGTAGCGCCAAGTCTGAGTACATCGTGGAGATGCGCAAAGTTGAATTTTTGCCGACTGGGCAATGTCAGCTCTTTCTCGAGTACATGAACGACGGGACTCTCCGCGACCACATGAAGAATTCCAACAAACTCGACAAAGTCAAGATTGCTCTCGCCATTGCGCGAGGGCTCAGCGCACTGCACAAGCCAAAGAACCAACAACCCAATGGTATTGCCCAATGGTCGCTGGTCCACGCCAATCTCAAGCCCGAGAATGTGCTCTTCAACGAGCAAGGTGAAATCAAGCTCGCAGGACTCGACCTTTGTTGTGTCGAATCCACGGTCGTGTCGCGTGACCGCCACTCGGTGGATCCTTACGTCGCCCCCGAAGTCAAGACCACGACCAAGATTTCCACGGCCGCCGACATATACGCCTTGGGGGTCGTCCTTTCCGAGATGGACATGAGCGAACCTGCTCGGAAAGGCAACGGAACCCACGTGCCCGAGTTGCGCTCCGACTGTGCCGAGTGGTACCGCGAACTCGTCCAGTGGTGCGTCGCCAAAGAGCCTCACAACCGCCCCAAAATCTCCGACGTCATCCACATTCTGGAAAACCCATCGATAGAATCGTTGAGAGATGTCGGCGCCGAGCACCTTGCCCGAGTCAAAGCACATGCTGCGTTGCAGAAAATGTCGGAGTTGCCGTTGAAGTACCAGTAAGACCGACACTTGTACTAGTACCTGCAAGACAGTAAATTGGCACAAATACCACGATTATTGGGGTGACACAAGCCCAACAAAGCCAACTTGCTCTGAAACCAGTTTCGTTTTGTGATGGTAGCATCCAGGATAGATAAATTCGTCACGTATACAAGGACTCGCAGTCACGCAGGTGCGCAGCAACACACGCAGCATTTCAGGCGCACTGCTGTCGACTCACTTGAAAAAAGGACACACACAACATGTTGAGCGCGTCGGCCTTAATACATTGTATTTCAATCGCAATAACATACATGTTCTAGAGCTCGAGAGCTGGCAAAAGTAGCAGTTTCGACATACCCGGTTAAACGAAAAAATGCATTCATCTTTGACAATGGAGTGTCTCCATCGATGGGTTTTCCAAAATCTGGATGACGTCGGAGATTTTGGGGCGGTCTTCCGGTTCCTTGGTGACGCACCACTGGACGAGTTCGCGGTACCACTCGGCGCAGTCGGAGCGCAACTTGGGCACGTACTCGCCTCGTCTCGCCTTCTCGTCGCTGCCTCGGGGCGCCGGGGCGCGCATGTCCATCTCGGCGAGAATGACACCAAACGCATAAATGTCGGCGGACGCCAAAAGCTTGGCGCCTTCAAAGAGCTCCGGCGCGACATAGTGCTCGGTCGAAAGGTCGATGTGCGTCAAAATTGCAGACTCGACGCGGCAAAGACCAAAGTCGGCGAGCTTGATCTGGCCTCTCTTGTTGAAATACACGTTGTCGAGCTTGAGGCTGCCATGGACCACATTCCAACCTTGTCCCTTTGGCTCATGCAGCGCCTGGAGCCCTCGTGCAATGGCAAGAGCGACTTTGAGAACGTCGATGTTGGGATTCCTCAGGTGGCTACGGAGAGTGCCACCGTCCATGTATTCGAGGAAGAGCTGCCACTGGCCGCCGGTTGGCGACCGTTTGATCTTGCGGACTCCAACAATGTACTTGGAGTTGGTGCTATACAAAAACATGATAATTGACACAAGACGTCGTGTCGTACCTCAAGAGGGCGCGCAGCTCAGACATCAAGTTGGGCGAAGACGCGAAGAGGGTCTTCACAACAACAGTTTCACCATCCAACACATCAAGCTTGGCAGCGCCAAAGCGACCTGTGCCAAGGCTAGGGTTGACACCGCGGTTGGAGCGCTTATTGACGGCAGCGATCGCAGGCTTCACTGTGGTTCCGCACAATCCGCGTGCCGCAAAGTCAGTAGCCGAAAGACCCTACATACGCCGTCATGTTCATTCTCCGGTAAGTTGACCAGCATCGTACGCCGCAGATGTTCGAGGCGTCGACACCGCGCTCTAGAAGCTCCTGAACAAGATATGCGCGCTTCGCGTTCACGCTTGGCGCCAACGCCCTGACCGCATCCTACGCACACGTTTGCGTTTGGACAATGCATCACATGCACATGCCAAAAGTCTACCGCATCGGCTGGATGGGCACCGCTGGTGAGAAGGTTGGCGATGAGTTCCTGCTTGCCCATCTTGACGGCGTAGTGGAGTGGCGTCAGGCCATGCTACATAGGAACGCATGAGGCGACGGGTCGTTGCCGACGACGATGACCTTGTCGGTTGCGTTCACGTTGACCGCGTTCGTCTCGACGAGCAGTTGCATGATCTCGATCGACCCGAGTTTGACCGCGACGTGGAGCGGAGTGTCACCTCTACGCAGAGATCATATATTGAAACTTGTCGCCACGGTCCGTACTGGTAGGTGGCGTTAGCATCTGCACCGGCGTACAGAAGCATGTTCACAATGCCCTCGTGCTGGATACAGCAGGCCAAGTGCAGCGGTGTGCGGCCGTCCTACACGACTGTGAAGCGGTTTCGCATGGTTGGGTCGTACGGAGGAGACATTGACGTCTGGCTGGCGCTGCAGAAGCGACGTAATGACGTAGACAGCCTCTTCGGACACGGGAAGGCGGTCGATCGCAGCGAGCAGCGCGACCTCGAGGAGCGTGTGGCCTTCTTTCTATCGTCACCAAGTCAATCGACATGTCAAGTAGTACCGAAGAGAGACCTCTCGCACCAACGCCGGGTGCTTCTCGAGCAGCTCTAGTAGGGCATGGCAGTCGAGCGCTTTGACTGCGCGAATGGCCGCAGACGCGGGGTCCATTTTGGCTTTGCCTTTGGTCGCACAACCTGGCGGTTTAAAATACTTTCGAGTGGTTGCAGTAGGCTAAGTATACTTGATTGCGAATAATCACGCGTCAGCTGCCACCTCGCCATGCCATCGTTGACCGACGCCGAGGTGCGTCGGTGCTGCAGCGTCCATCACAACCTCATGCGTGTCTAGAGAGCCGCTTTCGAGGCCATCGAGCTTGGCGATTACGTCGGCGTCGCCCGGTTCTTGGCTACAAGCAACGTCCATGTTGCCGACCCCGTACGACCGCGATATATGCCCACGACGCGCGACAATAGGAACTTAGGACAAGAAGTCGAGCCAGTATACGTATACGCTCGTGCATGCGGCGCTCCACGCAGTCGCTGCCGGCTGTCGCGCGATTGAGGCGAGAACAGAACTCAGCCAAGCCACATTGGCACTCGAGATCCGCGCGCTGCACGATCAGCAGCGCGGGATCTTGGAGCTCCTTTTGCGCTTTGGCTTTGACGTCACCCAAGCGTGCAATCAGGTACTTTGAGCGACTCGCAATGTCGTGTTTTGATGTGGTTTTCTAGGACCTGTACAAATTGAAAAATGCAACATATTTTGCTACGTTTGAGCTCACGATTGCGTAGTCTGTCGCTGCCAACCGTCGCGATGCGGCTCGTGGGACCGCCGTACACGGTCGCATTTCTGCAAGTTCTCTTGAATCCCAACCTGACAAAGAGCGGCATCACGCCACACATGTGGGACCTCGTGCCGGTATCCCTTCTCAATCGATGGCTCCAAATTCATTCCATGTCTGTAGGCGCAACCGTGCGTCTTTGAGGCCGTCCAGCGCGACAACGTGGCGGCCCTGGAATTCTTCATGGCGCAAGGCGTTGACCCGACGACGACAAACAAGGTCGCCTCCACAATCGACAAACAAATCTGACGAGCGAATATAGATGGGCGAATGTCTCCTGTTCAAAGCCGTGCAGCGGCGCAGCATGGCCACGGTCGAGCTGCTCTTGCACCAAAGCCGCATCAACGTCAACCAGACCACCACCATGGTATACCTTTTGGGTATGTGAGTGATCTGTTGACGTCCGGTACAGGGCGACGAGTCGCCGCTATTGGCCGCTGTGCGACTGCGCGCCCTCGACATCGTCGAACTTTTGCTTGGAAATGGCGCCGACAAGGAGCTACCTGACAGAAACGTACGACTCGTCTGCACCTCTTGATGGACTTGTACAACGTGGAACGATGTCATTAGAAGAACACGCCGCTCATGATTGCACTCCGGCGTGACTACACCGACATTGCGATGGCGCTCGAGACTCGCAGCATCTTGGACGTGCACTACGATGACAAAGTGGTCGTCTTCCACGATTACTGTATCGGGAGTGGCTCGCGTAGCATCGTGTTCCGGGGCTCGTTCAATGGTCGCTACGTGGCTGTCAAGGAATCCCGCCGCGTTTACGACGTTTCGATGTGGATCGAACTGCAATTATATTTGACGAGGTATTTTGCCAAACATTCGCCTGTTGATTTGCTTCTTTGACATGTACTAGACTCCGGTCCGAGCACATTGTCAAGTTGCTGCACATCGACTTCAACCAGAAAGAGCGGCGGGTCGCGTTGGTCCTGGAGCTCATGGCCATGAACTTGTGTGAGCTCTTGGGGCAAGAAGCCAAGCTGTCGCTTGCGCAAAAGGTCCGCATCGCCCTCGATGTCGTTCAAGGGGTCGCCAGCCTGCACGAAAAGAAAATTTTGCATTGCAATCTCAAGTCGAGAAACGTCCTTATTGACGACAATGGCCGCGCCAAGGTCGGAGGTTTTGCTTGCAGTACAAGCCAGCAGAGCGCGAGTGACGCCGACGAGTATCAGGGCACACTGTGGTACATGGCGCCCGAGCTCCTGACGTACCCACCTGCTGCCCCTTCCGAGGCGTCGGACGTCTATGCATTTGGCATCCTCCTCACAGAGCTCGATGCCAACACGGGCGAGGTCCCGTACGGAAACGTTGGTTACGAAAGCCCCTTTGCGCTTCCGAATCAAGTCCGATCCGGTCTGCGTCCCGCCCTCCAAGACGATTGCCCTCCATGGTTCCGCGAGCTGGCGGTCCAGTGCATGGCGGAGGTTCCGAGCGACCGCCCCAATGTGTCGACGATCATTGACACTTTAAAGAAGAAATTATGCGATATATAAATGACAATACTACTGTAGTACGTTAGTAGATTGTAAAGACGATAGGACGCAGCTCATCAAGGGCGCTGCGTGGACGACACCACCATTTCATACCAACACGTGCTCTTAACCTGAGTTGTGGTGGTCAAAGATGGAAACAACAAAATTTGACGTTCTCGACACTATGATTCATCCGTAAATTTAATCGTGCTACGTCGAGCTGCTGAGTGCACGGAGCGAACGGGCAAAGTGTGGACTGACCCACACGATAGAGACAAGCGCAGTAGAGGCTACCATAGTCTGTTGGAATGCGAAGACGACGACTCTCTATGCCAATGGGTCGGGATGTCAGACGATGAGTCGATCGACAGAACACCGGCGGGAGCATGTGGGAATGGCCACTGTTGGCTTTGATCCAGTTTTCGAGTGTTTCGGGCAGAAAAACAATGCAATGCGGATTCAAATGAGCATCCCTGGCTTGCAACCGGACTGGATTCGAACTTTCGAGCCCACGATCCAGGGTTAGGTGTTTTGACGTTCAGACCGCAACCCTATGTGATTGTTTGTGTTGGCAAATTCTGGTCGCTCCTCACGCTATCCTGCGCTCTCACACGCATGCCATTGAGATGTCGTACGAGTAGTAGATAGTTAAGGTTGCAGCTCCACTTGGCCTCGGTCAATTCTGCTACCGTATGTACATGTAAGCGTTGTCCCTCGATTTTTCGGCAGAGCAGATCCAGAGATTCCATAAATTCTTCAAAATATTGACCGTCTTTCGGAACGTAGTCGTTTAACATGGGATAGAGTCCTCTTACTTATTGCTTCGTCGCCAAGCAGATACCGTTGATGTGGCGATTTCATCGTGGCCACGCATTTGATCCTGTTGACATCATCAACAGGCGCTTTAATGTGTGAATTGCCATTTCCCACGCCGTTTGCAGCTTGCACACATGGGTGTTCACGTAAAAACCACCGTG